GGGAAGGAGGGAGGGTGGGAAGGAGGAGGGAGGGAGGAAAGAAGGGAATAAAGAAGGGAGGATGGGAAGAAAGAGGGAGGAAGGATGGAAGGAAGGAAGGAAGGAATGAAGAAGTGAAGGAAGGACGGTGGGTGGGAAGAAGGAGGAAAGAAGGAAGAAGTAAGGGAAGGAGGGAGGGTGGGAAGAAAGGGAGGGAGGAAAGAAAGGAGGGAGGAAGGAAGAAGTGAGGGAAGGACAGTGGGTGGGAAGGAGGAGGAAGGGGAGAAAGAAGGGAGGGTGGAAAGAAAGAGGGAGGGAGGGAGGAAAGAAGGAAGAAATAAAGAAATAAAGGAAGGACAGTGGGTGGGAAGAAGGAGGAAAGGAGGAAAGAAAGGACGAAGTGAGGGAAGGAGGGAGGGTGGAAGGAAGGTGGGAGGGAGGAAAGGAGGAGGAAGGAAGGAAGCAAGCAAATAAAGAAAGCACACCAGCGGTAAAGGAACAAGGGAAGCAAGTAAATAAATCAATAAAGGAAGCAAATCAATAAAGTTTGCAAGTAAATAAACAGGGCATGAAAATAAACACCGGGGGGGGGTCTCCCCAAAAAATAAATAAAGGAAGGAAAAACAAACATAGGACAGAACTAAGTCAATAAAGGAAGCATGCAAACAAACAAACAAACAAAGGGAGCAAGTAAATAAAGCGTGCAAATAAACTAATAAATAAAGGATGCAAATAAAAGGAAGCAGGCAAAGAGATGAATAAATAAATAAAGGGAGCAAGTAAAAAAGTCAGCAAATAAATAAAGGAGGCCAATGAATAAACAAAGGGAGGCTACCAATAAATATCCATGCAACATTTCTCGCCCTCCCCTCTTTGGGGATTTTGAAGGATCCTCAAAGAAACCCCCCTTCGCCCCTCCAGTGATCAAGGCAGCTGCTAAGGGGTTGCTGTATCTGTGCATTGTGACGGCCCCACTCGGTTCCTTTTTAAATGAGTAGAAAATCCCATCAGTGTTTTATAATTCAGAATTGAGGTAGAGAAAGCCTTGAGCGTAGGGAAAGCAGTACATCTGCTACCTTTTTAAAAATATATATATATATTTAGTTTAAAGAACCGGGGTCCTTTGGAAGTCAATCAGATCTCTTTTTTATTTTTTATTTATTTTTTCCTGCATTTGTGGGGAGAATGTTGGCCGCCTCCTGCAAAACTTTTCTGAAGAGACCTGGAGATGCCAACGATTTTTGAAGCTTGGAGACTTGAAGGCGGGCGGGGGGTGGGGACGGGGACTTCAACTCCCAGAATTCCCCAGCCAGCCATGTTTCTGAAGCTTGGCCCCTTGGAAGGTGGGTGGGCTTCAGTTCTGGGAGTTTGAAGCCCACACCCATTTTCTTCAGGTGGCTAAGATGAGAAACCTTTCTCATAATCGCTACCCAGCTGATTGTTGGGAGGGATGGGGGAGCCGATCATGGGAACAGCTGATTGTTGGGAGGGATGGGGGAGCCGATCATGGGAACAGCTGATCGTTGGGAGGGATGGGGGAGCTGATCATGGGAACAGCTGATTGTTGGGAGGGCTGGGGGAGCTGATCATGGGAACAGCTGATTGTTGGGAGGGATGGGGGAGCCGATCATGGGAACAGCTGATTGTTGGGAGGGATGGGGAGCTGATCATGGGAACAGCTGATTGTTGGAAGGGATGGGGGAGCCGATCATGGGAACAGCTGATTGTTGGGAGGGATGGGGGAGCTGATCATGGGAACAGCTGATTGTTGGGAGGGATGGGGAGCTGATCATGGGAACAGCTGTTTGTTGGAAGGGATGGGGGAGCCGATCATGGGAACAGCTGATCGTTGGGAGGAGAAAAAAAAAGAATGAAATACCATAAGGCCGTGATGGCGAACCTACGGCACGTGTGCCACAAGTGGCACGCAGAAGTCATTTGTGCCGGAATGCGAGCCGCAGGCAAACTTACCTCGCTGCGCAAGTGCGCGCCTCACAGCTGATTTTTCGGCTGGTTTGAGGCCCCTGCAAGGCTTTTCGGACTGAATAGGCCCATTTCATCACTTCCTATAATACCAGAAGTGATGAAACAGGCATATTACTCATCCTGAAAAGCCTTGCAGAGGCTTTTTCCAAGCCACTGGGAGGCCGAAAAATGCCTCAAACCAGCAGAAAAATCAACTTTGAGGTGCAATGCAGGTAAGGGGGTGGGGGGGAATGGGGTGGCATTGCACGCATAGGCGCAGAGAGCATGGGGGAGGGACGCATTGCATTCTGGGCGCTGTCACGAGAGTGCGCGCGTGCTAACGCGCATGCAGTTTTTGCCACAGCAGTCCAAAAAGGTTAGCCACCACTGCTTTGAGGAGTGACTGGGCAGGAGAGAATGTAATCAGTGATGTTGGGCGTACGTGCGATGTCGCGCATGCGCGATAAGGACTGGCTGGGCGGGGAGGGGAGGGGCGGGTGGGGGAGGGGCCAGCGATTTACCGGTTCTCTGAACTGCGCAGAATCGTAACAATTGGTTCTATAGAACTGCTCCGAACCGGTGGAATCCCACCCCTGAAGCTGCGTCTTTGGGTGACAAAAAAGGGCATCCATTCTGCTTCGCCATCACCCCTTTCTTCACCAAAAACCATTTGAACCCCGCGAATCCGTCACTTACCGCTAAAAACATCATGCAGTACATCCCGAAGGAAGAATGTCCAGAATAGAATGACAATCTAGAAAGAGAAGGGAACCAAAAAAAAGAGAGAAATATATAGATGACAGGTAAGTCCTTAAATTAGAATCCCACCATTGAACCCAAACTTTCTATCGCTACGTGAAAAAATTGGTTAAGCAAATTTTGCCCCCATCTTACGACCTTTCTGGCCACAGTTGTTAAGTGAATCACTGCGGCCATGAAATGAAAACACGGTTCTTAAGTGAATCTGGCTTGCCCCATTGACTTTGCTGGTCGGGAGGTTGCAAAAGGGGATTACGTGACACCCCCGCCAGGACCCCGCAACTGGCATAAGTACATGCCAGTTGCCGAGCATCTGAATTTTGATCCCGTGAACCCTGGGGGATGCTGCAAGAGTCATAGATGTGAAAAATGGTCATAAATCATTCTTTTCAGGGCTGTTGTAACTTTGAATGGTCATTCAATGAACTCTTGTAAATCCAAGACTCTCTGTATTCATTAACTATGATGAATCATTATTAATTTTTGACTATTTCCTGTTAATGGTTATAACTGCATTGATTTTAAGAATTGCCAGGAAATCCACTTCCTTATTTGCATTCATCTATTCTTGAAATAAGAGTTTTTTTCCTTTTACGTACTTCGCCCCCTTGGGGGAATGTTATATTTGAAATTCCCTTTTTGCACGTAGCTTTGCACACTGATCAAATTGCTGCTGTCATGTTTTGTGGCCTTTGCAAAAAAACGATACAGGGAAGTCCAAGACTTACGGCCACCAATTGAGCCCAACCTTTCCGTTGCTAAGGGAAACGTTTGTGAAGTGAATTTAGCGCCATCTTACAAGCTTTCTTGCCATGGTTGATAAGTGAATCACTGTAGTAGTTATTAAGTTGGCCACATGGTTGTTAAGTGAAATCTGGCTTCCCAGTTGGCTTTGCTTCTCAGAAAGTCGTAGAAAGGAATCACGTGCAGGGGTGGGATTCAAAAATCCCAGCAACCGATTCGCTGTCTGGTGGCTGGGTGGGTGTGGCCATGGTGGGCGTGGCCTACCGGAACTGTTTCCGGCTTCCAGTGGGCCTCCAGAGCCTAGGGGAGTCCGTTTTCACCTTCCCAAGGGTCTGGATGCTTCCCTTGGGTCTCCGGGAGCCTCCCCTGGCCTCTGGAGGCCCTCCGGAAACTGGAAACAGGCCCGTTTCCGGACCTCTGGAAGGCCCATTTCCCACCCCCTCCCAGAGCCTCCACACAGACCCTGCACCGAAAATGGAGGGGAGGTGCGAGGTGGGCGGGGCCATCCATATCGGTTTGGCCAACCGGACTTTAAAACCTGGTTCACCCGAACCGGTAGAATCCCACTCCTGCGACGGTCATCAACAGGAGTCAGTTGCCAAGCGGTTGAATTCTGGGGATGCTTGCCACGGTTGTTAAGTGTGGAAAACGGTCATAAGTCACTTTTCTACGTGCTGTTGTAACTTGGAACGGTCACTAAATGCACTTTTGTAATGGCATTTGGGTAACCACTCCCTCACCTCAATGACCCTGTTTGGACAGAAGCAATATTGTGTGTGTGTGTGTGTAGCCACTGAGTAAGCAAATCCTCACAATTTTTATAGACTTTAATTAAAAGGGCGGTTTGGTGCAGTGATTAAGGCAGCTGGCTAGAAAATGGGGCCTTTTTAGTCCAAGTTCTGCCTTAGGCAGAAAGCCAACTGGGTGTTTTTGGGCCGGCCACTCTCCCTCAACCCTAAGAAGGGAGCAATGGCAAACCACTTGCCAAGAAAACTGCAGGGACACGTTCAGGTGGTGACTGGAGTCACGACTGGTTCAAAAGAATCCAGAAAAGAACGGTTAATAGTTAATTATAGATACAGATAGTCCTCCTTTATGACTGTCTCATTTAGTGACCATCCCCTTACTACAGTGATGAAAAAGTAACTTTTCAAAAATCCTTGCATTTACAGACTTGCTGGTCTGTAAACAAAGCTAAAGTAAGAGTACAAACACCGTCACAGTTTATTAATGTATTTATTTTAGAAAATGTATATTGCCGCCTCCTCACACATTATGTTTCATTTAATGACCAAATTCCAGGTCCAATTGTGATCACTAAATAAGGACCAGCTGTTGTGTATTTTCCTGGAAGAAAAATTTCAGGGAATATTCCACTGCAATACAGAATCTATCTATCTATCTATCTATCTATCTATCTATCTATCTATCTATCTATCTATCTATCTATCTATCTATCTAAAAGCAAAATACCACTCACACATCATCACAAAATCTCCAGAACTGTAAAGCCAACAAACTTGAAATTTGGTCCCTATGTTCCTCTTGGCTTCTAGGTGCTCACTAAGAAAGGGTTTTTCAAAATGACCATCAGAGCATTTAGAGCATTTCCTGTATTATTATTATTAACACGCTCTGATGCTAAGGAGTTCTACTCCCCCTCCCCACCTGAAAAGAAATCTGTTCCAAATGCAAAACACAAGCAGAGGAGAGGAGTGTCAGGTTCAGTTTCAGTTTCACAGCACTAAGCAGCTTTAGTACAGAACAGTTGAGCTAAGCCACGCCCCAGGCTCCTTGCTGTCTCCTTCTTGCTCACACAGCAAATACTGTTTCAGTTTCCAAACAGCCCTCAACTCTCTCACACACTGACAGGACACTAGCCAGATGAGTAACGATGGATGCTGGTAGGCAGAGGTAGAATTCCCCCCACCCTTATTTTCCTCCCCCATATCTAAGCTCTACCACATAGTTTCGTAGCAAAGCACGGGTATCGAGCGAGTATGAAATATGGATACGGAAACCGGGATCCAACTGCGGTCGTAAATCCGAGGACCCTCTGCATCTCTGACGGCGTTGAACGTACCTGGATTCTGTGATGCTTTTGGAGTTGCCCTGGCACACGTCTTCCACCTGGATGTAAACCGAGCAATTCATTTTGGTCCAGTCTGGGTCACAGACGGCCAGGAAATTGGGGCGCAGGCGGCCGATCGTGTACTTGGCCAAGTCAGTCAGCGACTGGCTGACGGCGCTGCCAAACAGGAACGTCCCAATAACTTTGTAGAGAGCGGCCAGGTAATTGTTAAACTGGGAACGGGAGTACAAGCGTTCGGTGTAGACCAGGTAAGCCTCGCCTACGGAAATCTGAGGAGAAAAACAATGAAAGGGGAGGTTCCCCCCGGGACATCCATTACGCCCTCCCCCTCCTCAATTCCCCCCCCCTCCAAAGCTGGTGAGTCGAACGTGGGGTGACGCTACTTCCTTTAAGTCATCTGGTGACCATCCACAACCGAGGACACCTCTGTGAACTCTAGACTGGATGTTTTTAAGAAGAGTCTAGACTCTGCAGTCACTTATCTGAAATATTAATAGGTTGTCCTGCTTGAACAGGGGGCTGGACTAGAAGACCTCTAAGATACCTTCCAGCTTCTATTCTATTCTATTCTATTCTATTCTATTCTATTCTATTCTATTCTATTCTATTCTATTCTATTCTATTCTATTCTATATTCTCTATACTCTATACTCTACTCTATTCTATTCTCTATACTGTATTCTATTCTATTCTGAAATTCTATTCTATATACTGTATTCTATTCTATTCTATTCTGTAATTCCATTCTATTCTATTCTCTATATTGTATTCTATTCTATTCTATTCTATTCTGAAATTCTATTCTATTCTATTCTCTATACTCTATTCTATTCTATTCTATTCTATTCTATTCTATTCTATTCTATTCTATTCTATCTGCAATTCTATTCTATTCTATTCTCTATACCGTATTGTATTCTATTCTGCAATTTTATTCTATTCTGTTCTGTTCTATTCTCTATACCGTATTGTATTGTATTGTATTGTATTGTATTGTATTGTATTGTATTGTATTCCTCAAATGAAAAAAGGACCAATTGTGCTAAAGGCAGTCCTCAGTTTACATCTGTTCATTTAGGGGCCATTCGAAGCTACAACAGCACTGAAAAAAAGTGACAGGATCGTTTTTCACCCTTACGACCATTGCAGCATCTCCATGGTCAAGTGTTCAAAATTCGGGTGCTTGGCAACTGGTTCATCTTTATGACGGTTGCAGCGTCCCAGGATCCCCCTTTGCAACCTTCTGACAAGCAAAGTCAATGGGGAAGCCAAATTCAATTAACAACCGGGTTGCTAACTTACCAGCTGCAGCAATTCACTTAGTGACCGTTGCAAGAAAATAGCCATTGCAATAGCACTTATATACCACTTCACAGGGCTTTTACAGCCTTCTCTAAACCAGTGGTCACCCACCAGTGGGCCGGGGACCACTGGTGGTCCATGAGAAAATATTGGTGGTCCGCAGAGAAATGTCACACACACACCCCAAAGCAATTAATCCAGGCTGTGCGGGAACACAAGGCTGTGCCACCCACATGGCCCACAGGAACACAAGGCTTGCATCGCTTGCATTGCGAACAACACGAGGTAGTGAGGGGAAGGGGGAAAGGGCGGAGGGGGGAACTTGCCCCACTCGCCCCACATGCTTCGCTTGGCCACCAAGCTGCTTCTTTCCGTTTCTTTCTTCTGCCGCTTTTGGCTGCACGCAAGGAAAGCAGCCAAAGTCTTTCTTTCTCTCCCCCAAACTCCCCCAGAAATGAGTCTTTAAGACCCTGCAAGTCATCCTGCTCCAAGAGGCTGCGCCGGTGCAACAAAGATTCATTTCTGGCAGAGTTTGGGGGAGAGAAAGAAAGACTTCAGCTGCTTCTGCTGCTTTCCTTGCATGAAGCCAAAAGTCTCTCTCTCTCTCCCCCTGAGAACGGAGCTGGAGACGGTATCCTGAGATCCCAAGTAAAGAACTATTGATCGGTAGGAAAACAGGGTGGGGAATTTTCCTGCAGACTTTTTGGGGGATTTTCCCAGGGTCTCCGGTCCTCGGGATTTAAAATTATGTGTTTGGTGGTCCCTGAGATCCAAAAGGTTGGCGACCCATGCTCTAAACGGTTTACAAGTCGGCCTCTGGCCCCCAACAATCTGGAAAAGTTATAAAATGGGACCAAACTCCCTGAACAAACTCTGAACAAACAAAGAAACTTTGGGCTCGTAAGTTGAAGTCTACCTGTACTGGGAAAATGCAACGCCGACTTCTGCCCTTAAATTTTTTAGCTGGAGAACAAGCTCTTTTATCCTGTTCAGCCACCTCGAGTCGGAAACTTTAATTTAGTTTCTCATCAAGAAAAAGAGAGAGAAATTTAGAATGGCTGAGAAAAAACACACCAAGTTTTTAAAATTGTGTGAGGGTTCTTTGTTCACATCTGCAAACAATAGTAGAGTTCAGATGCTGGCATTAAATTTAAACGTTTAAGCTTCCTTTTTACATCATACAAAACAATTAAGCTCACTGCTCCTGGTCTCTTTTATTAAGGTTATATTGAGCAATTATTGTATAACCTCAGGAATTACCTGCTCATTCTTACTTTTTCTTTTGAGACTACACTTTTTGATTGTAATCAGATAAAAGGATTATCACAAGACCAAACAAAGACTGAGGACTGTTGATGTACTTTCCAAAAGGAGGGAAGTAAAGGCCAACCTTTCTCTATACCTGTGTATAGGCTCTATTGTGCTAAATAACGTAACGTAAATAAATCACATTTTAACTAAAAAGAAACTGGCTGCGGGGTATTTCTCCCTACACGAATTCACTGTACTTTTTAACCAATAAAACCACCTGCATGATATAGTAAGATACTGGGAAGGACTGGGTGAAGTAGGGGGAGAAGACTGCACCCCAAAATAGAAGTTTTGGATTAAAGAAAGAAATATGTCCACCCCTCCTCACCTGATCTGTCAGAAGGTCGCAAAAGGGGACACTGCAACCGTCATAAATATGAGTCAGTTGCCAAGCATCGGAATGTTGATCAGGTGGCCACAGGAATGCTGCAGCGGTCGTAAGAGTGAAAAACGGTCCTAAGTTACTTTTTTCAACGCCGTTCAGAGGTGGTATTCAGCTGGTTCTGACCGGTTCTGGCGGACCGGTAGCGAAACTGATTGACTGGTTCGGAGAACCGGCAGATGCCACTTCTGGCTGGCCCAACCCACCCGCCACTGCTCTTAGCTCTCCTATATTCTGTTGTTTATTAGCTCAGCTGATTTGTGCAGAGAGCAGATTCCCACGCCTCAGCTGAGCTAAAAGACAGCACAGCTGTCATGCCCTTGTTGGAGTCTGATTCTGAGGGGGAGATTGAGCAGCTGACGGAGTGGGAGTGTGGCTCCAGTGGTTGTGGAAGAAACGGTGGACGGGCACAGTCCAGTGGGCATTCAGAGGAAGACCCAGGGTCATCCCCTTTTCATCCTAGGGCACGCAGGGAGGAACGGAGAAGGGAGCAACATGGCTTACGGGAGAGAAAACGGCCCTGATCCCTTTCATTAGTTGCAGCTGGGAGAATAGGATATAAATGGGGCGTTTTACAAAACTCCTTGTTGGAAGCAAAGCGTGCATTATCTTGGTCAAGGCTTATCTGGGTTTTGGCGTCCTCCCAACTGTGATTGCTGAATTATCTTGTGGAAGTCTGCAACTTATCATCCTGGCCTGCCGTGTTAATGACTTCAGTTCGGTTTGTGTTGGGTTTTTTAAAATTTCTAATTATCTTTTACTTTGGGCTTGGACTGCATTTACTCCATTTGTAGACTGTTTTCGGAAGAGTTTGATATCCAGGATAATTGGACATTGAGGCCCAAGTTGGAGGCATTAAAGAGAATTTATTCTACTTTTGTGACTGTGTTATTTTTGTGTCACGCCCCAGGTCCTCACAACAGCTTACCAGTGTTGATACAGAGGGAGGTGTTTGAGTGTGTGTGCGAAGGGAGCTCTCTTGAATCAGAAGAAAAAAATTTTTTTGAAACCCACCACTGGTGCCACTGTAACTTCGAATGGTCGCTAAATGAACGGTTGTACGTCGAGGGCTGCCTGTATTCTGAGCTTGTCTTAGGTAGAGTATTTTTTTTAAAAAAACAACATTGTTCTTACTATAAAAACGGTGCAGGGGATGGTCACGCCAGCCATCACCCCGTGCGTAATGGTGTCTGGCTTGTGGGGATAATGGATGGAAGTGTCCTCACAGTAGAAACCCCTTTTGTAAGGAGAATTGACCAAGGTCAGGATGGCGAAAGGAAGTGAGGCTGCAAGGGAAAAAAAAAAAGACAGAACATTCAATAAGGCTCCTTGCCAACTTTTATCTCGCATCCATCCCTGCTCAAGCGGCTACGGTATGTAACTCCATTTATTGTCCGCAACTGTTCTGACCTAGGCTTCCCCAACTAGCACGAAGATCCTCATCCCAATAGACCTCTTTTATTGAGTTTACAGTGAATTCCTCTCCAATAAAGTCCTGGCCAACAGTCTTTCAAGAGATTCCACAGTTACAGACCTTTATCAGGCTTGGAGAGTTACCAGGCCGATATCTTTCAGACTCCACATTGCAGCAGACAATAATTAGCAAGAATGCAGCAACAGATCTTCAACCCAATGAACTAATTGTCTCCTGTAAAACCCCACTCTCCTTTCATTCCTTTTTTATTCCCTATGGGAAGGGCCATTCACCATCCACCTGTGGCTTTACTCCCCTGTTGACCCTTGTTCCTTAGCTGTTCTCTTCTCCTGGCAGCTCTGTGCATGCGCACACTGGGAACAGGCTCCAGCTGGTCTTCTGCCTCACTGATGTCTGACTCTGAAGGCAGCTGATAACTGTCAGATGGCCTTGGCCCCATCTCTGCCTCCGACGCAGAGCCCTCGTCAGAGCCTTCCCCAGACTCCAGGATTGGCCCATGTTCCTCCCCAACCTCCTCATTGTCCGAGTCTGCTGCCAGCTGTTTCCAGCTTCTGGACAGCCGTTTTCAGTTGTATTTATAAATTATATTATAAATCACATTATAAAAAAGAAGTTGAGACTCTAGAAAAAGTACAGAGAAGAGCAACCAGGATGATTAGGGGACTGGAAAAATGGCTGCAGGAACTGGGCCTGGCTAGTCTAGAGAAGAGAAGGACCACGGGAGACAGGAGAGCAGCCTTCCAGTATTTGAGGGGCTGCCACAGAGAGGAGGAAGGGGTCCAGCTATTTTCTAAAGCACCTGAAGGCCAGATAAGGAATAATGGATGGAAACTGATCGAGGAGAGATTCAACCTGGAAATAAGGAGAAACTTTCTGACAGTGAGAACAATCAACTCATGGACAGAAGTTGCCCTTGGGAGTTGTGGGAGCTTCATCACTTGAGACTTTCAAGAAGAGATTGGACTGCCATTTGTCAGAAATAGTGTAGGGTCTCCCGCTTGGGCGGGGGTTGGGGGTTGGACTAGATGACCTACAAGGTTCCTTCCAACTCTGATTACCTGTTAAAACGTTCTCTACTTTGATCAAAAAAATAAAGCTGGGATACGAATAATAAGCAAACAGATAAATGCCACATTCCTTTCTTTTCCACCATCACTTTCTGATGCTTTTAATTCCAAAGGAATAAAATAAACCAAAATGATCATATCTTCCACCGATGTTTTTGGAAGCTCAAATTCTGGAGCCTAGAATTATCCAAGCAATGTCATCAAATATAATATGTTCTCAGCAAAAAAAAAAAAAAATCCACATTGACATAGTAAAATTATTTAATTTTTTCTGCCTTAATGTACCAATAATTCTAGGGAGGAATGAGGAGATTTTTTCCATAATGTCACCCTTTTGATGGTCGACCATTGGCAATTTTTTTCCAGATGTTTTTTTCTCTCCATCAAATCAAAACCTTTCTAATGTCCTTTAAACCAGAGAATGCTGCCGTTTCCCTTGAGATCGTATAAATCTTTCACCTTTTTTTGCTTCCATTCAGCTGTCACATTGACAAATATTCCTCTTTTTTTCACCATTGTAGTTGTGTCTTGTGGTCTAAATAGAAAAGACTCCAGTCCTCGAATTATAACAGTTTGTTTAGTGACCGTTCACAGTTACAACGGCACTGAAAAAAGTGACTTACGGCCCAGAGTGTAACACAATGACCCAGAGTGTAATACAAACGTAACAAAATCCAAAACGTAAATAATTGTCCTTTAATGCCTCCAACTTGGCCCCACTGTTCAAAAATACTCAGCTGGAGATAAAACATACTCAATAGTAGTCTTCAAAAGAAAGCAATGCAGTCCGAGCTTAATGAGCAGATAGAGGTGAAATAAAAAAAACAGACAAACTACAATGATGAAATTTCCACAATGGAACAGGAGAAGTATTTACCAAATTCAAGGAGATAACAAGGCAGTCTGTTGGAAGGACGCCGACTTCAGACCAAAATAAAGCACGCTTTGTTTCCAGCGTTCGCCAGTACGCAGGTCCAAGCTCTTATTCAGTTATCACAGCTGCAGCCCATGAAGGGGATCAAGGCCCTCTCCTCCCGAGGAGACCACCTCTCTCCCTTATTCTCTCCTCCCTGCGTGCCCTGGGATGGAGAGGGGATGGGCCTGGGTCCTCCTCTGACTGCCCAGCCGGCCTCTGCCCTTCCCCAGCCTCCTCCACAACCTCCGGAGCCACACCTCCACTCCCTGTCGGCTGTTCCTCCTCTCCCTCAGAGTCAGTCTCCACCAGGGACATGACATTCACACTTACGACTGTTGCAGCATCCCCATGGTCACGTGATCAAAATTCAGATGCTTTTGGCCACTGACTTGTATTTATGACGGCTGCAGTGTCCTGGAGTCAAACGATCCCCCTTTTGTGACCTCCTGATGGAGCAAAATCAACGGGGAAACCAGATTCACTTAACAACCGTGTGACTAACTGAAACGACCGCAGAGATTCACTTAACATCTGTGACCCAAAAGGTCATAAAATGGCAAAAAAAATTACTGTCTCACTTAGCAACAGAAATGTGGGGGTCGATTGTAGTCGTAAGTTGAGGACTACCTGTAATTAATTATAGAACAGCTCAAGGTAGCACACAGTCATTGTGATGACCCAAAGGGGCGTGGCACAAAGGCAACACAGTCAGATAATCAGTAGAAGTCCCTTTATTAGATCCAACTTCGCCCCCAAGGTTCTGGGCTGGAGAAAAACTCTCCCAGGTACAGCCTTTGGATGCAGAGAATCAAGTCCAAAACATGGTCAACACAAACTGTAACTATAAGTCCAGTGAAGGCAAAATGAGGTAATTAGTCCGGCAGGGCAAAAGAAGGAGTTCCAGATGTGAAGGAACAACAGTACTTCAACCCGGTTGAGAGGATGCCAGGAACGCAGATAACCAAAGTCAACACAAGATAAACTCATGTTTGTTCCCAGCAGATGCCGCTCTCAGCTTGCCGCTCTTGTAAACTCTCTTCCCAGCTGTGGTAAATGAAGGGAATCAGGGCCCTTTCCTCCCCTGTAAGCTACGCAACCCATGTTGCTCTCTTCTCCATTCCTCCCTGTGTGCCCTAGGATGAAGAGGGCCTGGGCCTGGGCCTTCCTCTGAATTCCCTCTCCCTTGTTCTATCTCTCCCCTGCTCTGCCCAGCCGGACTTTGCCCTTCCCCAGTTTCCTCCACAGCCAACGGAGCCACACTCCCGATCCCTGTCAGCTGTTCGTCTTCCTTCTCTGATTCAGACTCCAACAGGGGTATGACAGGCATCGCTATATATATTGGTGCCTATTTAAAATTAC